CCCCCCCCCCCAATCCCTACACCTAGCCCCCTACCCTGGTATCTTCACCACCGTCACTGCCTGACCCTCTTCTGCCTCTTCTCCTTCAACTTTGCCTTCCTCGCATCCCGGCAGTCTCTGCCTGCTCCCCACACATGCCATTTACCTTCCAGCTCCAACATAGCTTAAGCCTGAGGCACTGAGTATGTTGCTCCAGCCCAGCGCACTTGCCCCAGCCTGGCCCAGTAGCAGCAGCAGCAGTGGCAGCTCCAACCCAGGCTTCTGGCCTGGCCAGAGCTGCCACTGCCACAATAGCTGTTACTAGGCTGGGCTTGGGCTGAACAACAACATGCTCTGTGCCCCAGGCTGGAGTGGGGCTAGATCCAGAAGGTTAGCTGGGGAAGATGCAAGGTTGGGGAAGGCAAGCAGCAGGTCAGGACTGCAGCGAGAGCCGCAGCAGCCACCTGCCCTCCTGCCGCTTTGTATTCGAATCCAAGACAAAGAGCTTTTTCCCCCCACGTTAAATGGGGCAAAAACCTCATTCTGGATTTAGGTAAATACAGCAAAAGCAATTCCATTGCAATAGTAACTAAAGATCCTAGACTTCCTCTCTTACGAGCCATTTCCTACTAGGGAGGGCTTCCTAGGGAAGCCCCACACCCTGCAAACATTTGATGACCACACTGCTGCTACTCAGGCACAAATGAAAGTACACGTGCGTACGTTGGCAGGAGTGGAATTTGAAGACCTCTGAGTCGTGAATGCGTGGAAACTGTAAACATGTCACGAGGATTTGGGATGACTTTTTCTCACTCTCTCCCATGTCATTTCTAGATGACTCAGTGAGCATGCCCAGTGTGGTAAGTGAACAGGACGCATACCTTATGAGTGCCATTGGGAGGAGGCGATTCTCCAGCCATATCTCCAGCATGTCTGCACCTCAGGCTGAGGTGGGCCTGTTACCCAGCCAAAGGTAACATGTGCTTTTTCATCTTTCCCAATATAATCCCAAGAACAGAGGGTACCTCGTGTGTGACTCAGTAATAAGGGATGGTAAAGTCAGTGCCAACTTAAGAAGCTGATCCTGTAGTATTTACTTGTGCATTGCAAGTAGTTCCATTGACATCAGTGAGAGCACTTGACTGGGTAAAGGCTGCAGGGTTTGATATAAAGATCTTCCAGTACAGTCTATATTGCATAATCTTCATAAGAGCCACATTTCATTGTTAGAAACATTTCCTTCTAGCAATCTTAGAATCTTACAGCACCACTATTGTTTCTCTGCTAATGCCATGCCTGTTACTGTAATTGATATCAAAAACATTGGCAGGGTTTTAGGGTGCCTGAGACTCTTAGAGGTTTCATTTTGTGGGTCCTAAATACAGCACTTGAAATGAGTAGAGAGGAATCCCAAGGTACTGGGAAAATCTAAGGCAATCTGTGTCCATCTCAGAACAGACTCGTTTTCCTCTGGACATTAGCTCATCTCAGAAAGCAAATGTCAAATATGAAATAGGATTTGTGACATTATTCAAAACCGGAAAACTTGTTTGTCCACTGGAGATAATCTCAGATGCCTCCTATTACTAGAAGAGGAGGAGAAGGTTGTTAGTCAGATGTGAGTCTTAGACCCACAGGGACAGTTTTTTCCAATTCAATTCTATTATTTGTGCATAACCAATATTTATTTTTTATTTTTATGTGGCACAGATTTCTAAAGAACTTTGACAAAGGGAGAACACAGAGACAAATTTGTCATTCTCTGCAAACCTTGAAACGTGATTTCTGCATCCTTTCTTGACTGGCTTAGGAAAATAAAGCGGCACCGGGCCTAGCCCAGTCTCAACTGTAGTTCAGTTAGAAACAACTGTGATGCATGTCACAGCTTAAAAGGAACAGATATGGCTTATACCAACACAAATATGGGAAACAACTTGCAGAAATCCAAGCGTGTAGATTGTATTCAAGAGTTTGCATAAAAGAGGCTTCTGAGGATTCATTTGACTTTTAAACCTATTTCATGTGGCTGACCCTTCCTTCCTTCCTTTAAAAACCCAGATGTGCTGCAAAATTTCCAATATGCTGTATGCTGCATAATCTTCTAAAAGTCTACATTTTCTTGTTAGAAATATTCCCTTCAAGGAACCATGAGCCATAGTGCTTGTTGGTTGGTGATGTTAAGAAAAAATGTGTAGTTACAACATAGTTTTGGACTCTTGGCCTTTCAAAGCATGTAATCTACTGGGAAAATCTCCTTTTATATGTGTAGAATAGGCTTAGTAGATATCATATTTCACAGTCACATAGCCTTTTTATTCATCATGGACAAGAAATAGTCTCTTGGCTTTTTGTTGGTATTAAAAATGTAAACTAATTAATGTTTAGTAGTAATGTTATTGTTTCTTGCTGGTAAGGTAGCAAACCACTTTCGTCCTTTTGGATGCTTCATCAGAGGCAACATGTTGAAATGGAGAGGGAGTCAATGCAACAGTTGAAGCAATATTAATATTATTGGGTATAGATTTGCCAGTATATGTTTCAGCTGTTACTTACAGATTCATTGCAGTGTAAGACAAAGCTTTCAGGAGGTTTAGTCTTTTAATGGAACCAGACCTTGGGTGTAGTTTGACAAGTCATGGAAAGTAGATTAGCATTACAGGCACAAATCTCAGTAAGAGAACTGATGTGTGAGGGATAGGGGAAAAGGTTATGAAATGAAGTGGAAAGTAAATAGGACATAATATAATGCAGTCAGAAAAATGGCTTTGAAAACTGTTTCCCACTCTTATGTTCCCAAGAAGTGCTATTATATTAACAAGCTTCCTAGCTCATGCAATGTACTGTATAAATTTGGAGGTGTCCTTGGATCATAACCTCCATCTAGAGATTGAGTCTTTTATCCAGAATTTAATTTAGCAGGTGTTCTTTTTTCTGTGCCTTGAGCCATAAGTTCTGATGAAACAGTACAAGACCAAATGATTTTACCGTCTTTTTTTTTCTTTTTCTTATTCCGTTGATATTTTTTTTCCTTAAAAACAGAGACAATTGCATGCTTTTTGCATTTTCTTTCCCTAAATTCTTCATCTCCCTGCCCCTCCTGCAGTGAACCTAATGTCCTCGATGACTCCCAGGGCCTGGCCGCTGAGGGCAGCCTCTCTAGGTACAGTGTCAACACTACCTGTCTGTCAGTGTCTGTGCTGGGAAATAATCGGTTCCCTATCTCCTCTGTCTCTCTTACTCACCTTTTGTCTCTCTTTCCATTTCTGTCTCTTGTTGTTCATTGATATTCAGGCCTGCAAGTCAAAGGTGTAGCAACCCATCTTCAGTTTTCAGCTTTGATTGCCAACAACTTCTAATTGTTAACAATGTTGAGGAGTTAAAAAAAGGCTCGCTGGACTAAAATATTTGTCTGTTTTGGATTTTCCCCTTGTTAGCTATGGTTCTGAAAATATGAGAAATAGTATGCACAAGATATGAAATGTAATCTTTTACAAGCATCGATGTAGAGACATTCTTGTAAAAAGATTTGTCATTCTATACTCTCAATACTGACATCATGAAATGCTATTATAATAATAATGTACAGATCATAGGCATTTTCTTTTATCGTTCTTTAATAATACTAATCTTGACATTACTTATTGAGTGCAATTCCTTATAAATGTCCTTATAGTAATCCCCACTTATTACTATGCATTACTATTGTTCACATGCTAGCCTTAGAAAACATTCAGACAGACACTTTGGATAGTCAAAATTATGCTGGCAGTGACAGAATACAAACTTGTGAGCTCCTGCTTCTTGTGAACAGGGGAGTTTGTTCTTTGTACAAATAATATTATTGCCATGTCTTTAAAATATGTTGGTTGTACAATTTCAAAGGGAGGGCTGCACCTTTAACCATCAGTTCAGCCTGCTACACCATTTTTACTGTTGTGCTACTGTGGCCACACCTCTCAAGTGATCCTCATTAGGTGGGAAAGATTTTGTTCATCCCAAGAGTACCTTTGTTTTGTTCTGGGAGGACAGAATCCCTGAAATCTGGTATGTAGAGTACACTGCATTGCTTTGTTATTTTACCCTGCTAGACTAAAGATGAGGACACGTTGAGAGGCACTTGTGTGAAATAGTATTTTTTGAGATTTCACCATTTTTTTGATGCTGAAAAATGGGAAATTAAGTCTGTTGTTGGCTGTGCCATTTAGATCATCCCCATAATTCATAGTGTCATTTGTGTTTGCGTGTGCTTTGCCTTGACAGATCAGTCTCTGATTGGTGGTAATGTGGAAGGGCTGTCAAGAAAAGATGCTTTCCTTTGGTAGAGCCAGGAATGTTATCCTATAGCAAAATGTATTTTGTTCCAAAAATATCAGTAAGGCACCTGTCTGATAGAATCAACTGAGCAACAGTTCACACGCTGAGAAAAAACAGAAACCATTCTACAAAAGAAATGAAGTGCATTCACTTTGTGAGAATTAACTAGTCTATGTTTGGGGAGAGCTATGTTTGAGATAAAGACAGTATGGCCTGATGAATAAGTCCCATCCCAATGTTGATTGTGAAATGTCTTCACGCTATTACATGGGAGTCATTCTGCATGACAACTCTTCATGACAAGGCCAGGTATTTTATGATAGATGAGTCAGTTGACAAGGTCAAACTCAGTAATTAATTCTGGTCTCTGAAATTTAGACATATATGCAGTGGGTTGCTATTGGATCCTAGCATGTCAACCTTTGCCAAAAACAAGACATTGTCTCCTGTACTGCATTGTTACAGAGTTTTTCCTAAAGTAGAAAATCATTTGGCATGTGTGGGGAAGTAGGTTTATACAGAAAGAATATTTCTGGTGGTGTTTTATTTTCTCAGGGAAAGGCACAGACATCTGCAGGAAACACTTTTATGCCACAAAAGCTTAAAAGAGAATGAATGTAGTGGAGCAAACTAATCTAATCTCTGTGAAAAAGGCTACAATTTTAGTTCTGTAGGAGATGAAAAGGCAATGTTTTAGCTGTATGGTATGTACTTAAATGTGTAAATTGGATTCTTCTTTTAAAGGAGAGAAGCAATAAAACAGCCAGACAGCATAACTGCTTATTGTACTGTGGAGATCATTGATATAGCAGAGGGTAAATACACTCTTATATTCAGGAACATTAGCTTTAAATAAATCAGGCTGAGATTTTTCTTTAGATAACTTTGATTTTAGCTCTCGAATACGTGGATAAAAACGGTTTAGAATTGCCTAATAAATTCAAAGTTCAGTAGTATTTACCCTAAGTTAATGGAATAACAGATTAAATAACAAAACATGGTTGAAGGCAGGAATTTCAAATAACTGAGAAGAGCAATAACAAAAACAACAGTAAAGCCTATGTACCAATTAGAGTTACACATATAAAAGAAATGAAGACAGAAGGAGAACAGCATTCATATGCACATTATGCAGAAAGAAGGGGGGTAGGCGATAAAGATTTCTTCATAACATGATTTGTTGAGATTATAACTGGAGAAAAGGGGGGAGATTTCCCCAAAATACAAAGGAAAAGAATGAAAACTTCTGTGATTGGAAGCTGGTGCACAAAGAAACTTTTCATCATGATTAATAAGGAAAATTAGACAAATGAATATAGCAAGTGTATAGGAATATCTTTATGTTAAACTGAGTCTGACAGCTGAAATGCTTCTGGGAAATTGGGAGCTGGATTTAATCTACATATTAACCCATTCTCTGCTGGTCCTTTACAGCAAATGTGAGTTACCTTTGTCCCAGAACAATCAATTGACATACTGGGAACATGGGCCATTCCCAATCTCTTGAGAAGTACAGCACATGCTTTCTACCAAGATATTACCAGGATTTTTGGCAGTGACTATAATACATTTAATATTGTTTTAAAAATATTTACTTGCTCTTTCTGGTTTTTGTTTTCCTCTGTCACATATTTATTTGCTTCATTATTTCTTTTTTATCTTACTATAAATGCCAATTTGATGAAGTTATTTCACTATGATTTGAGTGTTAGACTGGACCAACATTTGTTGCAGTGTTGACAACAAGCATCCGTGAATTCTTGTTAGTCTGTCTGTCTCTGTCCTAACCTTGTGAAGGAGGTAACGTGATTAGAAAGACGCATCGCCCGTCGTGGGCATGCAGTGAGTGACTGAGCACCAGTCATGAAGGATGGGGAAGTTTCCAGTTGTGTTCTCCCCAGATAAATCTGGTTTATGCGGTGTAACAAAAATCTTATAGCTGATCCCATTTTCACAAAAGAGGAGGAATAAATTGTCTGAAAATGGAATTGGATTTAGAACTGCTCGACTTAATTCCTGTGAACTGACCTCCTGAATATAAGGCAAGAGCAGCAAAATAGTATGCTCTTGGCTATGTTTAGCAGACATTGAAAGGCAGAAAAGGAAGGAGAGTGTGCATGCATCAACAGTCCCTAGGGTACTCATTTTCACAGAAACAAGGTGGTTGGTGCTCTTGCAGGGAAGAAAACAAACCATGATGGAATCGAAGCTATGTCAGGAAATTCAGTTATTCATCTTAAATTGGCAGTTGTTTCTCTTTCTTCCTTACTAAATTTGGGTGAATCAGTGTAAAAGGAGAAAGGGATAAAGGACAGTCACATTAGGGTGGTGCAGGCATCTCTGTTCATCTCCACTGTTGTCAGCAACGGACCTCCCCAGTCTATGCTCAACTTGAATTATACCAGCTTGTGCAATGCGTCTTTGATGGAGACACATATCCATTAGAATGCTAACCTTGTCTCACTTGTGTTGTAAGGCAGGCTTAAGCCCTGAATGCAAGACAGGAAAAGCAACTGAGTCCAGCCTGTCACTTGTCTCTTCATAGTTTGTCTTTAATGCACAGATCCGTCCATGGGAATCATTTTTTCCCCTCATGTCTGTGTCATGTCTACAGGAATCATGTGCCATCCTTGATTAATGAGGTTCTCAAAGTGTTTGCATGATGCTCATTTGTATAAATTCCACCACTGTAAATAATAGGTTATTTAAACTGAATGTAACTTTAGTCTTTCCTACAGAGATCAGCCTCTCCATTGACAGAACTAACAGACATCATTCTTCCACAGAAACTGCAAGAACCATCTTACCATAACTTTATGGTAGTTAGCCGCTTAGTTGAATAGCCAATTCTCTTGCAGCACCATTTTAAAATATATTTTGCAACCTTTAAAAAATAGGTTTGATTTTATTTTCTACTTAAAATTATTCACATATGGATATATATCTTAAGTCTCTTAAAATTTCCTGGAGCAAGGTTTGCAGTAATCTAGAAACAGAAAGTTAACAATTTCCCTACAATTTCAAGCAATAGGCATGTCAAACCCAAGGGAAAAAATGTAAATGCATCCTCTCGGCCTTGGGAAACTTCAGAAAGTGTCACTTCTGGAGTTTACTGGATTCCAAGCAGTTGCACGTGCTGTAAGGCCATTGTCTGGGTCAAGAATGCAATGCTGCCAACTGGAAGTAGCTTCGAGGACTGCACCATTCATAGAGGGATAGTCTTGTCTTGATATTCTGAATGTTTTATATGTAAACCATATGGAAATCACATGCAAATATTGAGAATATGCCTAGAGGAGGGTGTTCTCTCTTTGTGCTCAGCAAGACCACTTTTCCAGTAGTGTAGTTATAGTAAACCTGCCAAAGTATTAGCTCCATCTTTTTCTCTTCCAGTATTCATAAGGCTGTAGAACAAGCTTCACTTCTCTTAGAGGCTCTTACCTTCTGCAGAGGAGGTGGCAAAGTCCAGGAAAATTCAAAAGAACGGGAATATTCCCCCTTCCCCCCATAGATAAAAGCATGCCAAAACCAGAATGTACTGTACTACTGAATATTCAGCAATGCATATTAAATACAGCTAGAAGCTGCTTAATTGGGATGCATACCTCAGTGGATTTAATTTTGTCCCAAATAAGCAGCTGTCCCATTTAAAAGAAGTTCATCTAAATGTTACTTATCATTGTAACTCTGTGTCTCAGATTCGGTTTTTTCAATCAAGCCATTTTGTGACTGTTGCCTGCTTTAATTGTGACAAAACTGGGAGGACTTCAGGATTGTGAAAAGAGGAGGGAGGGTGGGGGGAATCTGCTACACCAATATTAAGTTGATTGAGGAAAAAGTGGTATAGGCTGCTTAACGATATAAGGAGAGTCCCCTTGATTGTTCAGACTGCTTGATTTTTTAACATAGAGATTCAGTTTGTTGACAACCTATTAAAACGAATGCTTTAAGATTTTTCACATAATGTTTAACTGTTTTTATTTTGCTCGTGAGCCACAAAGAGGTTTCAGGCTGCAAGTGCTGAATGTGAAACCTTGCTTACATATATCATGCACCCATTATGTGCATTAAATCTTTGTCAGTTGTGTTCATATTTCATTTTGTTTATTTAAATTGCAATTAAAGGCAAAAGACAAAATGAGTGGAGTTCAAATGGGAGGCAAATGGCCTTTATAATGATCCTCACAACCCCCCCCACCCCAAGAGATAAAATGGCATCCTTGCCTTTGTTTGTGGGTACCAATGTGGCAAAGGAAGCAGGGAAGTGGATGTTCAACAATGGGATGCATCAATCAATGACTGAAAACTGAAAGTTTCAGTTTTTACAGTTTTGTGCTACCTGGCCTAGTCCTGAATGCCATGATTCCTTCTCCCATTCCTGTGCAAACCCTGGGATCAGCAACCTAACTGATATGTTCCCCCATCCTTCAAAGATATGCTGTCTTTGAAGTGGTTGTGCCATTAGTGTTTCTAGTCACAAGTGCCAGGGAATGTACTAATTATTCACTGTGTCTGTGGCTGGACTAACCCTCTTGACACTTTCCAGGGTAGCAAGTGTTCAAAGTGAACCAGGACAACAGAATCTTCTTCTTCAGCAACCTCTGGGGAGAAAGAGAGGCCTGAGGCAGGTAAGACCAGAGGAGGGCGCGAACATGGTCATGCCAGTGTCCAGCAGCCCATTTATTGTTCCCTCTACCCAGTGCATATTACACCATTAACGTTATCTGACTTAACAAGAAGTGGTTGGGCAAGCCTGACCCATTCAGTTCTACCAAGCCACCAAGAAAGAAGGTATGTTTTGTTTCAATCTCCAAATGTATGTTTCTTCCTTCTATTACTATTCTCATTCCTTCCTTCCATAACTATTTTATTTGTAACAAAGGCACTGCATTAGAACTGAATTGGCATGAAGTATGATGTTTCATCCATAACTTTTATAGTACTGGTAAAGTGATGTCCACATTAAAGAAAGCAAAATTGTATATCCACTAAAAGATAAATGAGTTGACATACTAGTGTTACATAAATGGCAAGACTTAATCTCCTAGAGAAGAATGCTTCAATTATACACAAGTATCTGTTTGGTGTAATATTATTCTTCATGCTATTCTTTAGCTTCGAAGGCCTCTTCTGTCACGTCAGAAGACCCAAACTGAACCTCGTAACCGTCATGGGGCTCGACTTTCAACAACTCGTCGAAGCATACAGCCAAAAACAAAACCAAGTGGTGAGGCAACTACTGCTTTGGGTTTTTTTTGTTTTGCTTTTTCCTTTAAGGATGTGTTAACTAGGTTTGCAATGAACCTAAGCATTTCTCCTGTAGAGTTTTCATAACAAGCATTGGATGGCTTGGGGGATTAATAATAAAATGTAAGCCTTTCACTATACCATGTCCACTCCAGGTTTTCAAAGTTACTGCTACTTGTTCTTCATTAGTCTATGTGAAGTGTATTTTGTGGCTTCAGTACAGTTCTTGGAGGACATATACCCACCTCAGAAAAATTACTTCCACAAAATTGGTAGTTTCTCCAAAGGCAAGACATGGCTGGACATACACACTGAATTATGTTTTCACCCAAAGGTAGAAGATTTAAAATTTAAATCTTCTCTATTATGAATTCCCCGTTAGTGTGTGTCTACACGAGATGCTTGGAATTAATTCTATTGCACATTAGCACTGTGGGAAAAACCCATGGTACTGCACAATGGAATTAGTCTACTGTACAGTAATATCACCTGACATGCATGTGCTGGTGCTACTGCGTAGTAGCGCCAGTTACTGCGCATTTAGCTAGTACCTGTTATTACAGGTGCTGAACTGAATGCGCAGGAACTACTGTGCATTAATGCATATGTAGACATGCACAGTGGCACCCAGAATTGCATGTCTGGAGACTGCTAGTCTGTGTGACTGACATATCTTGGTAAAACACTTGTAAAAGAGGAAATTTATTACATACCTCAGACCTAAATTGGATAGGCCTTTAAAAACTGCATGTGGGGAAAAAACAGAGGAACCAGTTCAGTCTTTAGAACACTAGCACTACGTGCTTTCTGCTGCTAAAGCCACTAAGTAAGGCAAGCGGCTGTAGTCTGCACCTCATGCAGCCTGCAAGAGGTTTTCGAAGTCCATGTGGAAATCACGTTCTCAGCAAACCAGCCTAACATTAGCTTGACAATGTTTTTGGAGATGTATAAACCCTGTATTGTTATCAAAGGGCACTGTTAGCCTATTTTAATGTGCATTAAAGCATCACAAAAAAGTGCTCTTTAGCTAATGTGCATTAAACTAGGCTAATGCACCTGTTTCTAGTACAGTAAGATCTCTGTTATCTGGCATGAGTGGGGAATGCTGGGTGCCGGTAATGTAAAAATGCTGGTTATCTAAAAATACCAGAGCTGGAGGTCAGGGCTTGCATGCGGTGGTGGTGGTGCGGGGTGGTGGATAGCAGCCGCAGTGGTGGTGTGGGGGGGGAGCTGCACATGGCGGTGGTGTGGGGTAATGGATGGTGGTGTGGTGCTGACCAGTAGAATGCTGGAAAACAGGAATTTTACTGTACCTCCCAATGGAGGTACTGGATTTAACGTGCATCACCTAAAGTGCATTAATGAACATGCAGATGTGCCCAAACATTATTAAAAGCAAGAGCTGGGGTATTAACTCCACTGGGTAAATTTCAGTGTTGGTGACTACATGCTGCATGCTCTCTGTTTTCACTAGCCTGTTTTCTAGCGAAGGTATAAAAAAGTGTGTCAACAAGTCCTGATTTTTATTCCCAGATATGCTACAGATTCCCTATAAAACTTAGGGTGTGTCACTTAAGCATATGTTCTCAATTGCCTTGTCTGAATGAGGATGATAATACCTCACCCATAAAGGAGTTCTGAAGCTAAAGTCAATTTAATTGCTTTGGAAATAAAGACACAATATATACATAAAAAGTGTTAGTTATAGTCTTATTTTTCCTAAGTTGGAGTGTTTTTGTGTTTGTTCTCCTACACCTGGCACTACAGTGGATCAAAAGCGATCAGTGACTTTCACTGAAGCTCAGACAGATGTAACAGCACCCTCAACAGCAGATGCCACACCAGTGGTAGCCCAGCAGCTGGCTGGCAGCAGAAGCAGCCCTGCCCAAGTCAGCAAGCAGGAAGCTGTGAATCAACCTGTCCTGACCTCTTCTCCTGCCATTGTTGTGGCTGATCTCCACCAGACCACCAGCCAGGTAAATTGTGGGATGGTTTTACCCACTTTGGTCTCTAGGTCATGTTCTTGTCCTTTAAAGAAGTAAATAAAAAAATAGTAAAAATGTCTAATGCAAAATGTCACTGGTGGACATAAAGGGACATAGCCGGGGAGCAAAGATACAAATTTATTTTGTTTTCTTTCGACTGAGGTCACCAGCTGCACTACGGGTTGTTTAAATGACCAACTTCCAGACATTTGTCTTAATTCTTTCAACTTCCATTAGAATTTCACTAATGCATTTCCTTGGCTGGATTAATCCTATATCTTCCTCCTGTTTCTTCAGCTATGTACGCACATCCTTCTACCAATGCCTTACTGCTCTTTGGAGCTGGGGCTGGGGTTAGGGTAAACATGTGCATCATTGAAAGATTTTTATAAAAATGTTACTGTAATAACAAAAGTATCAAGCTTTGCAACAACCTGTTTACCCTGCAGTCATTGCTGAAATAAATTAGCTGTTAAAAATTGTTGATGGGAGTATATTATGGTGCAAAGATTACAGCTGGTAATCCAGAGGTTAGAAGAGGCCTAGTGGCATAAAAATCTTTTTTTTTTAATGATATCTCTATATCTGGTCCATCGGGGTACATGTTCTTGGGAATCGACAAAAAGAATGGAAAAATCCAACTTTTAATATGTAATTTAAAAATTAAATGGGAAACAAGAAAGAACTTTAAGTCCTATCTGCCTGGTAACCAAGATGACCTTTGTAATTTTCACTACAAATCTGACAGATGACGCAGGGGAAAAAAACTCCCTAAAGTTTAGGTTTATGATATTTAAATATCTGGATGTTGAAACTAAAAGGTACTTGCAATTTAGTCTTTTTAAGTAAACAAGTCTGAAAATATTTTGCATGTGCTGTTTTGCACCATTTTTTTATTCTCCTTCTCTCTCTCTTCCTGTAAGTTTAAACCTGACTAGAAGCTCTTTTGATTCCAGACTGAGGCACTTTCTGCAGAGAAGGAAAAAGACAAAGAGGAGGATTTGGAGTCCAGGCCAGGACCAGCACACAGCGCCACACAACTTTCTGACACCGAAGACTTCACAGGTCTAGAGACTACCAGCTTGCTGCAGCATGGAGACACTGTCCTTCACATCAGTGAAGAGAATGGGATGGAGAATCCTCTTCTTTCTAGTCACTTCACCTACACACATGTTGAGCTCGGGGAGACTGATGTTGACCTGGATGAGTCCCATGTTTAAACGACTGGGCACTGCAGTAACGGGGAGGAAAGATAATGTAGAGTCTTGTTAGAGAAAATGGACCTTCTCCACATTGTTTCTTACTACTTAAAAAGCACTTTACAACCAACAGAGGAAATACATAATGGCCTGTTTAATATAGACAAGTAAATGTGTTTTAGACAACAAGAGCCAACCTTTTTCTTTTGATAAATCCACTTAGGATCAGAGCAGACTACAAAAACCAGAGAATACTAAAACAAAGCTTCTCAGGGCCCAAGGCACATATCTGATTCAGAGAACCCTGATGTGTTGAAATTCTGCTGCAGTCAGCAGCTTCACCAGTAAAACAGATTATTTCAAAGTACCAGACAGAAAAGAACAACCTTTTTCAGGTTGGCCACCTTAATGTTGCACCCCAAAGTTTATTTTTGTAATTTTGGAAGGGTTATTCTAGTATACGAATCAAAGACTGGCATGACTAAATGTCGACAGTCAAAATGCTGACAATGAATATAGTTCTAAAGATTGTTTAAATAAAATAAGCTTGTGATCATATTATCTAATCCCCATAGCAATGACAAATACCATTCAATGATTAGAAAGATACATTTTAGCTCTGTATGCTTTAGCTGTGTTTACTTTTGTCCCTTGGTTTCATTGCACTCTGCAAGATATTACCCTAGGACTATACAAATATTCGCTCTTCAAAATGAAATAAAGCACATTCTGTAGGAAAGAATGCACATGCTGTGTGCAAATATAGGCTATTTATGTAGGGTATTTATATACCCTATATTTATATAGAATATTTATATACCCTATATTTATTTAAAATCCATTTAAATTGTCCATTTAAATTGTTGGTGATCCCTCAAGGTTGAGACTAAATACAGATGGGCAGGGGGTGACTAGTCTATAGATGGCATAAGTAGTACTATATATTAAATGCAATTGCAATGTATTAAGCAATTTGTCTTTATTGTAAAAAAATACAGAATGTGTGGACTTCAATGATGCAAATATCTATTCTGGATGCACTTGGAAACACATATTTTAAGTAAATATTTATAATCCATATTTTCACATTGTGATATATACACTGGAAATCAGAAAGTGTATTGCAGGAGATGAACTTGATGAAAGAATATATTTTATGTGCACAAAGATTGTATTTAAAAAGATTGCACTCTATGTATGTATATAACTATATGCAGTATTTATGACTCTGTATGTTTAGTTAGCTATACCTGCATAACATTTATACATACGTAGTGTTCCCTTTGGGAATTGACTAAAGTCATGGGTACTTTATGGCCTGTGCTACAGGATCACAGAATTATACTGAAGCATTGATTTAGCCATTGGCTTTACAGAAAAATTGCAAAACAACTGAGAGACATACCAAGATATCATAAGCAATGCCCAGTTATGTGCATGTCTCCATATAAGCAATCAGGACTCATGGTAGAGACGATATTTTTTTATTAGATCAACAAGATTTTTGCAAAAAAAGTCTTTAATTGCAGAAAATTTGCAAAAATGTTGTTGGTCTAATAAAAGATAGCATCTCTATCATAAGTCCTGATTGCTTTTTCCTCTAGACCAATACAGCTACAACCTGGATATCTGTGTCCATGTAATGCATTTTCAATTATCTTTGTAGAATGAGACATCAGAACTTCTAAGCGTGGCATTATTATGCACAGTAAAGTTATTTAAAATCATTCTGAAGATTTCTAAAAAGAAGTAGAATCTTTTTACCTCTTCAAGAGCCATAATTTAGACTCAAGTTACAGAAAAAAGCCCCTTGTGTTAGAGAAAGAATGATACAAAAAAACCCATGTATTTTCTTAAATCACTGTAAAATATTTCTAAAATGGATTGGTGCCCTTTCTTTTTTGTTTTATTACTTTCCAGGTTTTCGTTTCATTCATCTGAATTATCTCTATAACTGACTTCTGGCTTCTGCTATTTCAGACCAGTGAAACCTCTGTACTGCAGTATTACTTATTTTCTATATATGCAAGGTCTGTGAGGGCCTTGTATGTGCATCTAAGTACAGAATTTGGCCTTCTATATTATTCAGACATATACAGCAGATAACCTGATGACAACAATTGTTATTTTTTTTCTGAGGTCACTTAAGGCCCAGATCACAAGTTTTAAGTCCCCTCTGCCACTGTTGACATCAGTGTAAACTGAAGGCACTTGGCACCTCTCAGGAAGCGCTTGTCACTTTGCAGGATTAGACCTTAACTGTACAGAGTAAAAAGGCAACCTTACAATGGGTTTATTGTCAACAAAATGGCTATGTAAAAATGGCAGCTTCTTATTCCACATAGATCTGCTTCTCATGGTTATTCTGAATGATGACTATGTTCATTTTTGACCAAAATATGTGTAACTACTTCCAACTTCTCTCAGACCTCAGAGACCATACCATCTATCTATAGGAGAGTGCACTGAATGCTTGTCTGGCTTGGACATCATCACAATCATTATCAAACGTCAAAGGCAGGATTTGTAACATTAATGACATACAGATGAGAGAGCACACAGCTTCACTTTCAGATTCGAGGTAAAGCTGGGTTAGCTAGCTGCTGGGGAGAAAATCTTGCAGGTAAACTGGTAAATGACTGAAATACAATATACATAGCGCCCCACCCACCATGAATTTTTAAAGAGTGACTTGTTAAGCTGATAATAGGAAGTATTTACATTATTGTGAGGTAGAAGCTTTGCCATGATATTCTGTTCTAATCATAGGGAAATAACTGATTTACTGTGCAAAATTCAATATCTGTGATACATGTTTTCATTAAGGTTTCCTGCTTTTACAAGCTGAATCCATCTCAGTAAGCCATAGCAAGGACTAAAAAATGCCTCTTTTGAAGTCCAAGAAAACAATGCAGTGTATAAATGATGTTAACAAAGAATTAAACATTACATTATTCAGGTGGCCCAGATGATGGCTATAATTTTATTAGAAGATTATTAAGCTACTGACCAGACAGGCTTAACCAGTCTGTCTATGTTCTTGTGTAGTTTATTTTCATTTTGTTTGCACTTAATATTGTACTAATAAGGTGCATACATATATACTTTAGCAGATTCTGTGCTTTTTCAGTATCTCTATGAAGTGACTGGTATACATTTCTGTTGTGAAAAAAAATGATGCTGCTTAATTAGTGTTAGAGGCCTTAAGTGCATGTCTTCAACAAATGTCTGGGCTATACAGGTGTCTGTCAGTGTTTTGTTTTGTTCTGTTGCCTCAGCGTCCTGTCCTAACTTGTGGTTGTTCAAAGGATTAAAGACAAAATGTGCCTAGGCTGATAAATGTTCTGCAAATAGAGAGTAATTAAAAAACAAGGATTTGTGTTTAATCCTTTTGTACAACATTATACAGGTCTCCCTTTCTAAAAGGCTGTCAACATGCTATGTGAGATTATCATACTTCGCTGGGATGCAAAGTTTGTTAGAATTTAATCTGTTATCTGTAATGTGTGCCTCGCCAAACATCATCCACCCCCAAAGCAGCCTTTTATAAAGGGAGTATCCTTATCCTGGGACCTTTCAGTGTAATCCATTTGTATGTTCTTGTATCCTGTTAATGTGACCTTAACTGTGCTGAATGTCTCAGTGGATTTATATGTTTTTAAATGTGCATAAGAATGTTGCAGGATGTACTTTAAATAATACTATTGCCTACATTTTGAAGGAAAACTGTATCGGGAGGAGAGGGGGAAATGATGTAGTCTTGAAACAAATTTTAGTCATTTATCCACCAAGTTTAAAAAACCCACTAAAACCTGGAAACTCTCATTGAGTTGAAATCTTACTTCATAAAATGAGTAGTTCCAGCCCAAAGTAGGGCATCCCCTTTGCAATTTGAACAAACTTTAAGCTTTAAAGTGTTTCAGCTTTCCATTGCCAAAGAAAAATTTGGGGCAACGGGCAGGAAACAAAATATTGGTGAAGAAACCAGTTACACCAATTTTCACATCCACCAACCAGTAGATATGTTATTAAAGTATGATCTCAGGGCAATCAAGCAGGCATCTGGAAATTGGGAAGAAATATCAAAAAGTGTTGTAGTCTTGCATGTTGCAACTAAAGGAAAGCTATCTTGCTAAACCAAACGAAGGGAATAGATTTGCTTTGAAATTAATCAGCTTTTGTATGTTTAAGGCAAACTTGCATACATGGAACTGGGTAAAAAATGTCAAATTAACGTAAATCCTCTGCATTATGAATGTGTAATTCATTCTCATGATGTGCGCAACGGGAGAATGAAAGTCCCCTTTAGTAAGATGACCTTTCAAAATGACTTGGTGAATTACAAAGTCTGACCCTTTTAGATCTAAAAGTTGAAAAATCATCTACTGTCCTTCCCCAAAGTACCTAATTGTGATGATGTATATGAAATGACCAAAGACCATGGGTAACGTAAAGAGATGTCTAAATTATGTTTATGAAAGATGTTAAGTTTGAATATGCACAAATAATAAAATACATCTATGAATATTTAACATGGTGGGAGTTTTATTTGAGGAGACAGATGTTCACTGCTTCTGGGGCTGCCACCCGGAGCCGACCCCAGCAGCTGTCTTGGGCCGCGGCAGCAGGCAGTTCGCTAGGGTTGCTGACTCTGAAGCTACACCGGGAGATTTCTTCCCCCAGCCTGACACGGTCATTAACGGTGCTGGACTTTACCTATCCGGTCACGAGGCTGCCAAGGGAAAGGAAAACGAGATCGGGTGACGCTGTTATGTTTTAACAGTAAATGAACTTCGGTATGAATTCTGTGAATGTATTGTATTATTTTTTTTCTTAAAATATCCTATTGAAATCTCACCGATTGCTTTCAATAGGCAGATGCCGATTCGGGCAGACCCCCTGCCAGTCGGGGAGGGCTGGCAACCTGGCGTTGGTGTTGGCGCTTGCGCCTCCCTGGATGCGCAGCGCTCACACGGCCGGAGGCTGGGGCCCCGCTGGGGCTGAAGGCGCAGGTTTCGCCCCGCAGCCATGGCGGCTGGGGGCAGCTTGGCCCCCATCTGCTTGCTTAGCTTGCCAGAGCCACAGGGGCTGCCTCCCCGGCCGGTGACGCCTCAGACCCAAGACCAGCAGCCGCGGTCACGCTCGGGCAGAGAGCGCCGCACCCCCCGCTTTTCGGTCCGCGCCTGCCGCCCCTCCCCCCGCCGGGTCAGGACGAGGTCGCCGCGCTGACCCCGCCCCCGCCCCGGTGTATTGTGGGGCGCGGAGTCCCAGCAGCGCCGGCTGCAGAACCCCGCCCTCCGGAGGCCGCGGCGCAGGGAGGGTGCGCATGCGCCGTGGGTGCGGAAGGCGCGGGGCGGCCATGGCGTCAGGGTGCCGCGTCGGCCCGTCCATCCTCAACAGCGACCTGGCGGCGCTGGGTGCGGAGTGCGTCCGCATGCTGGACTGCGGGGCTGACTACCTGCACCTGGATGTAATGGACGGGTAACTCCGGCGGGCGCCCG